ATTAATTATTCATTATTAGTATATAATTAATTCTTTTAACAAATTATAATTACTTGAACATTTAAACAAATTCATTTATTCATTAAGTCATGTGCGTGCATTACGCAGTTGGTTAAGCTCGACTGCACAGCTTTTACTTGTGCCATATACATATAGAAGAGGCCTCACATTTTAGTTACTGCTGCAGGGACTCCTGCTGCTGCTGCTGCTGCTCCTGCTGCTGGTGTTAGTTGTTGTTGCTGCTGCTGCTTCGGCTTTTGCCCCACCTAATTGCAAATTATCGCCTGAGCCATTGCTGTTAACTGACCTGTGAACCGCAGCGATTCGCCGCTGGCCGAACAACGTCCTGTTGCTCCGCTGTTGCTGTTGTTGCTGTTGTTGCTGCTGCTGCTGGGATTTATGCATTTTTGGCCAAAAGGTGTCGCTTAATTATGCCACGTGCATGTTTTAATTGCATCGCTGATTTTCCATATTTAGCTGGCCAATAAATTTCGAAATTTCCATCACTGGGAAAACTTTAATTCGATTATCGCATAATGCATTAGGGAGCTTGAGTAGAGAATTCGCAGCGAATTGAAAGAGAATGAGGAAGAGAGAGAGGGGGGAGACAGAAGTAGAGAGTCTTGTCAGTGCTGCTGCCATCAATTTATGAGATATTTCTGTTATGCAGCCGCGAATGCAAGTGGTTCAATGCGAGCAATTCACAGCGAGAGGAGCTTCAACAGTTCCGGAATATGCAAAATATTTGTTGTGCTAACGGGATCATAGCAAGTAAGTTCTAAATAAATATAAGAATTAATAAATTATAATGGTATAATAGTATACTATATTATCGCATGTCCACCATTCCGGACTTTGGAATTTGTGGAAAAATTAAAGCCAAAATAACTGATACTCATTATCATCACTCAGCAGATTGAACAAGGTCCATGGAACTCTTTAATCCTCCCAAATCAAATCAAGATAAATCGTACTCTACTCAAGATGTACTTAAGCTCAGCAGAATTGCAGATCCTTCCCATTCTCAATAAATATTCAACTTTTGAGGTGGCATTCGAGGTCTATAAATATTGAGATATCAAACTAGAGCGTAAACTACATAAATTTGTGTTCCTATAAAATGCATATAAAATTCAATCTACATCCATATTTAATAGAGCTCTTGTCGAATATTGCTAACGGTAAACATATATATCTTGACAAACTATCATAGCTACTATTATAGCAACCCTCGCGCCGGCATAAAATTGTAATTACCGCCTCGACTCGTCGCTGTAATTTGCGCTGGGCAACAACAACAACAACAACAACAAATCGTCGCCAAAAGTAGACAAAGCAGAAGCAAAAGCAACAGCAGCAGCAGCAGCAGCAGCAGAGGCAATGAAGAGCAGCAGAGGCAAATTCATAGCGGAAGCCAGGGACTAGAGGAGGGCAAGCGAACGGAAACGGAAACGCGCAAATGTTACGGGGCAGCAAATGAAAATGGCTCCCCGAGCGTCGTTTATCAGAAACAACGGCGCGAATTTTCAGCGTAAATCGAAGTGACAGCTAAAGGAAAATGTGAATTTTTGCCACCAAATAACATGGCCAAAAGGATTCCGTTAACTTCTATTGTGTAGCACAAAGAACATAGCAGCAGCTAGCGAGTTGTGAATGATGTGTGTGGGGAGCAGATTGGACAGGGCTGAGCTACAGACAGACAGCAGAGACGGCAAAGACAGCACGTGCCACGTGACGCAAACACATCGAAGACATTTTCAATGTCAGCGTCTGTATCATTAGAGGCCATATGTGACGAGGCGGTAGGCGGAGAAATAGAGTGGGGGCAATGAGAAGGAGAAATGGGCAGAGTAAAAGTTGGAGCAGAGCTTCAAGAATCAATAAGGTAAAGATGTCAACATAGCATAAAGAAATGCAAGCCTGCAAACATTTTGATGAAACCTAGAGACAAGGGAAATATCAAGAAAAACCCATTTAATACCCTAGCATTTGATGTGAACATTCATTCTCTAAATACTCTATAGCGCTGAGTAAAAGGTGAAATAATTAACAGACTCTGTTGGAGAGAGTGAGACGGTGAGATGTTGCTTAACGTTCATTTGCATTTTATTTGCGCGTTAAGAGAGTGAAAGAGACAACAATAGTTGCAGTTAATATAGTCCCGGCTGTTGCTGAGTGAGAGTGAGATAGCAACATAGGCAATCGAGACGCTATGATTTCATTAGACGAAGAAAAGGCGAATAGAAATGAGCTGTCTGAAAGCGCATTAAATTAAAGAAGCTTAAGACGAGTTTTAGTTTTAAGTTAAGTTTGAAGTCCAACAAATAAATAAATGAAAAAGTGTATAAACTTGTATAAAATTTCTATAATTTTAAATTTAACGCCAAGATCAGAAACTTTTATTATAAATTAGAAAAATTCTACGACCTATATGTAGTCAACAATATACAAAAATTTGAAACAGAATTTAATAAAAATTTGTGTTTTTTCCTATTTTTATTTTAAACATATATTTTCAAACTTAGGAAATATTGGAAGGCTTCGGCTTTCTATGCTTGATCTATCTGTTTATCTCTATATATGTTATATGATATTCCTATACCCTATACAGGGTATCCGCACTGTACTCGCATGGCGATTTCATTCATCTTCTTCTTCTTCGTTTTCTTCTGCCCTGACACAATAAAAGCTGTTATGAAAATGCCATGGAAAAACATGTTCATGCAAATGCAAAACATTGTTAAACATACCCCGCCTCCCACATCCCGCGAGCCCTTCTCTTCACACAGCGCCCCATATAGCGCCAATTACCCTGACTCCCAGCGCTCGACTCCTCCTCACATTCTGTGCAGCACGTACGCTTCGTTCGATGTTGGCAGCGACGCCTTCGCCTTCTGACGTTTCGTCTTCTCGTCGTCGTCGTCGTYGTCGTTTGGCAGCTTTTAATTTTAATGCGTGTTGCACGCTCGCTTCCAAAAATTAAACGCCGGCTTATTTTCCGTTTCTCTAGCTGGTCCCCCGCCTCTCACCCTTACTCTCTCGCTCTCTCTTTCTCTCTCTATTTCCCGCTCTCCTCTGATAATTTCACATCTAAACATGGCGCAAAAGTTTCGCTGGCGCTTTTTACACCGTACAAATAGGCGTCGATTAGGCAAATCAACGCATTTGTATGCAGATTATGTGCCAGCGGGCAGCAGTAGCAGCAACAGCACGAAAAAAACATGGCATAGAAGCAGGCGAGAGAGGGACAGAGAGAGAGAGAGAGAGAAGGAGAGTGGGACAACAGTTGTTTTTGTTTTTGTTGTCTCTAATTGCGCATAGTCCGTCAGCTTGCCAACTAGGCGAATACATAATAAATACAAATAAAATAAAATCTCAGACAAGCACTCAAAGTTGAACTCTTTAAAGCTGCCAGACGGAATGTGTCTGTGCTTGAGATAGGGCAGCATTTACGGGCATGACGGAAGTAAATTTACAATATTATTCATATTTATTTTATTAATTGTATTATAATTATTGCTAAACATAAAATAATGAAGAAAATATTTCTGCGGTGTATTTGAAAAGCATAGAGCTTTGTGCATAAATAAATCATATGATAATATATCATATATGATATCTTAAATTAACCTGACAGATTTTATATCAGAGAAAATCTTGACAGGCTACGAATGCATTTTTGTTTTTTAAGTATAGCAATATAAAATAAAGTAAAAATGAAATTTGATATAAATTATGTAAATTAAGATTGCATATTGTCCAGAAAATTCGCATGCGACACTATGAACTTCAATCAATTTCTACTTAAGAGACATTGTTTATCCTCATGCTAAAACAAATTAATGTTCCAACAGACAAAACTTGATTTAAGCATAAGATAAGAATGATAATATTCCCATTTATGACTAGAATTTAATAGCCAATATGGGAATTTTAAGTTTCTGATTTTAGCTAATCGAAAAAGTCTAATTCCAACTGAAATAGCTCATGAAATTTAAATTTACAAATTTAAACTATTTACTGAACTTTATTTGCCCATCATCAAATCAAATTTTCTGCAGTTTCTGCTTCTATTGCAATAATAATTTAAGCAAAATTGCCTATAAATATAAACACTTTATATACATCACTATCTCAGCCAACATATTATTATGTAGCTCCCCTATCACTTCGAGTAAGTAATTTATTTGACACTCAGCTCATTCGTGTCCTCACACGGATGCTGATGCGGCATGCATGTATCGCTTTAAACAGTCAAAGATCTTACGCTAATTTTAAGCGGCTCTTAGGTCTCACACCTAGGCAGGGGGCGGGGGGGACACGCAGCGACAAACAGACGTGCAGACAGTCGGACAAGCAGACAGTTGGACTGCCAGACACCCTCAAGCTCTGGCAATCTCATGCACGCGAGCAACGGCTCCCACGCTGCGTGTTGAATTTCAATGCATACTTTTAGGCTCAACATCACAGAGCGAACAACAACAGCAGCAACAACAATAACAAAGGAAAACGTAGAAAATTGCCGAAAATACATTCGTTTGCCATTTCGCATATCGCAAGCTCTAACAAGAGAGACAGAGAGGGAAAGAGAGGGGAGAGAGACGGGGGAGTGGGGGATGTGGGGCTGTTGGTAACTAGGAATCACATGCGATTGGCATTTGATGCCAAAATGCTGACGTTGAAGAGTTTTTCACGTCTATTTTTTAGAGTTTTTGTTTCCTTTTCGGATTTTTTTTTTTCGTGTTTTTTTTTTTTTTTTTGCAGCACTTGCAAGTGGATTTATTTTGCAATGGCCCCAACAGAATTTTAATGGATCGTTTGTTGCTACCAGCCCCTCTCCGACTACCCCTCTCTCTCTCTCTCTCTCTCTCTCTACCTGCTCCCTCTCTCTCTCTCTATCTCTCGCGGTTGCGGCACGCACGTGTCTTTCGCTTTCAGCACCAACAACAATAACAACAAGCAACAAATTGTGCCAAGTTTTTTTTTCCGCTTCCTTCGTTTGTCTGCTTAAAATTTTGCTCATGCTGTCGCGTTTCAATTCCACTCGTTTCATTCCACACGTCGCCTTGCGTTTCACTTTGACTTTGCTGCATTTCATTCGACGTTTTACAGCTGCTCGTGTTTGTTTTCATTAATTTCCTTACCGTTACTTTTTTCCTGCTATTTACATTTCTACACCTCTTAGTCCCCGGCTCGCCCCTCTTCCCCTCCCGCTCTTACGCGTGCCCATAAAATGCGCAAATTTAATTAGTCGTATATGTAAAAATTACATTAAAATTTATTTTTGCTCTGCACCCACACGTTGTTTGCATTTTACGTAACGTTACGTCACGTAAGACCTTGCAACGTAGCACGCTTTGATGCTCTGTGATTTTTATTGTCAAAAACTTTAGTTATATTTGCATTTTTATTGCTCGCATAAAGTTTTTAATATTATTTACTGTCAAACTCTTTGAGTCGCAAAATAAAGAATCTTTTTTATAGTTGGCAAAGAAAATAGATAAATTTGTTTGATTAATTGCCTTTAGTTACTTAATTACTTAGCTAGACTTCTGCTAATTGAAAACTTTTTGTTCTTAAGCGAAATATTTTATTGAATGCGACTATTGTGGGAGAAGAGTTGAAAGAGATGGAAACTTGACTTTGCACTAATTTAAGAAATTGCAGATTTAATTTAATATTTTAAATAGTTTAAAATTAAGAATATTTTCAGCTGTCTTTGGGTATTTTGAAATTATTTTTGTAAGTATTGTAAATTAATAAAATGAAAATAATTTTAAACTAAATTAAAAGCAGTCAATTTCTTATAAATTTTAAAATGAAATAAATATTTTTTAAAGCGTACAAGTTAGTTAGTTAGCCAAGTTATCCATTGTAAATATATATGAGAGATTACGTAAAATATTTTACAGAGTGCTCACACAGTTCAGTTCTCTCTCTCTCTCTCTCTCTCTCACTCTCTCTCTCTCTCTGTCTATCCATGCCAATCACAACCTCTCTCTCGCTCTCTCTCTCTCTCCCTCTCTCTCTTCCCTCTTACCATGTTGTTATTTTGAGCTGTTTGATTTAATTTTTTATTTTCTCTCGTAACATTTAATTAAGCACACGTCTGTGGGTGTGTGTGGGTGTGTGTATGTCCTTAGGGGCATTGCCTTACAATTTATATAGACATTGAGTGTGCCTTGGTAACAAATTGTGCTTGGCTTTTCTCTTTAATTTGACAAATTTCCTGGAGGTTTTCAATTGATTTCAAACTAAATGCAAACATGAGGCATGCGATTGGAGTATTTATTTAAGTTATTTAAGCATTCTATTTGACGATTTAATGCGCTCGCACTAAGGGCCAGAGGTTAAGCTAACCCTAACCCATTGAGCAGCACTCACACACGCGCACACACGCGCACACACACGCACGCACACACACATAGCTAAGCGCACCTAAATACACTTTTGCTAGAATAAACAAGCAACCTTGGTATGTTTACCATAAAAAGTAGGTAAACTTGAGTGCAAAAAATTGCGTATGGAGCGAGTAAGTAAGTGTGCGTGGGCCTCACTCTATGTGTGTGTGTGTAAGTTCAGCAACCAAACACACATACACCCATAAACACATATCAGCACTAGCATACGAAATGGCAAAATAAATGCACATACAAAAATGTAAAGCAGTCCAAGAGGCGAGACGACACGAGTGAGTGAGCGAGACAACGAGTGAGTGAGTGAGTGAGGGAACTGAATGAAACGAAGCAAGAAGTGATCTAGTCGAAAGTGAATGAATGGCTGATACTCAGCATTGATTGAGAGACAGAAAAATCTAGGAAAATAAGCAAAACATAAATAAATAAAAATAAAATTAATTA